AGGGCTCTGACTTGGGGGACGCTTTCTCAAGACCTGTCTTATAAAATGTTTTTTGAGGGCCTCCCTGGTGGCACAAGGGGTTGAGCACTGCACTATGAAGCAATCCGAAGACTCTGCAGCACAAGTTCCATCCCAGCCAGGGAGCTACCCACATGGCGCAGCAGACCTCTCCTGTCTCGCCCGCTGCTCCCCTCAGCAGTGTATTTCAGTCAGTCTGCCTGTTCTGCCCCCCAACTCTGTCTCTGGTGAATCCTCTAACCCACCCCCCACCATCTCTGGTCTGTACCCCAGCTCTTGTATGCATAAATAAATAAATCTTTAAAAATAAATAAATAAATAAAATGTTTTTTGATCCTCCACATACCTCAGGTGGCATGGACACAGTGGATATCCTGCCCATTGGACAGATGGCAGGACTAAGGTTCAGAGAGACAGACTGTGAAACATGAAGAGCTCAGGGTCTTAGAGGTTCCAATCCTATTGCTGTTTGTTCCTGTGCCTCCTTGAAAAAATTGCTTAACTTCTCTGGGCTCCTTCTCTGTAAGTCAGGGAGCAAGCTGATCCTGCAATCTGTCTCCTGGTTTGTTGAGGTTGTGAATGAAAACACTCAGACCACTGCCTGGCTCATCAAGCGCTTGGCAAAGGCTGGCCTTCCCTGGGGCAGCGTCCCCTTGAGGAGGAGCAAGAGCTCTGCCAGACCCCAGGCAAAGCTGGCAGGATCTGCCCCACTGCACCTGCCCAGTGCACAGAATGTGAGCAGGCCTGGGCGCTCCAGGCATGAGCTAAGCCTCCATCCAGGCCAGACAGTGCAGGGGCAGTTGAGCAGGGGAAGTGCTGAGCTTGCCTGAGGCGGGAGGGCACACTCAGCAGTTTGGCCTGGGGATGAGATGGAGGGTGGGCAATGATGAGGGACTATGTTAAAATGAAGGTTGCTACATCTGTCATGACTCTTTTCCTCGCTGGTTCCCAGCTTTAAAGGGCCAGAGCATGCTCAGCATTTGTTGGAAGGAGGCTCAGAGTCTTCCCTGCTTCCCTTCCATCAGAGCTAAGTGACAGTGCCTCCCGTTACTTATCCAGATGGCCACTGCAGGCCCTTCTGCTCCACAGTGCTCACGGTCTTTGTTTTTCAGTGGCCAGGTGGCTGCGGTTCTGCAGTCACTGGTGGCATGGCTTCCCCACCGAGCGCCCAGGTACCGGTGGGGAAGGGTCAGATCTGGCCTGAGTCCTGGTGGCTTACAAAGGGGAGGAAATTCCCATCACACCCACCCTGTGCTTTCCAGCCACCGCACCTGAGTCTTCAGAAGCCTCCCGTCCCCTGTCTTTGGCCTGGCATCCAACAGACTTCCGTGGAAAGCTCCTCATGCCCAGCTGGATATGGCCTGCCCACTACCCTCTCTTCTCTGGAAGAAGCTCTGATTTTCCACAAGAAAACTTTCTGCTCGTGAGACTGAGTTTGTCGTGAGACTGAGGCTTCTCCTGCCCAGGGGCCATGTGACCTAGGCCTGATCGACGAGTGGGCCATATGCCTCTCACCATGGTGATTGGTTCAGCCTCGGGCAAATGACACAAGCTTAACCAACAAGACTACTCTGGACTGTCACTGGACCTGATTCTCCTGGAGCTGGAGCTCATGATGTGTAACACTGGGGCTTCCGGGAGCCCTGGCAGGGAAGGAGCCAGACTAAGTCCACACCAAGGAAAGCAGAGCAGAAAGACAACACCCACCTGAAAGCATTTAAGTGTCTAGATTCAGCTGAGCCAGAAGTCCATGGACCTTTGTGTTTCTCAGTTATATTAACCGGTAAGTCCTCTCTCTTTCTCCTTTCCTTAAGTTAATTGGGGTCGAGTTATTGTCACTTATACCCAAAAACCAATCTGAGAATAAATCCAAGGATGAAAATTTTGAAAGGGCAGGGGCAGAGCCCTGTGGCCCAGCTGTGGGGACATCATTCAGGTTGACAGTATCTGTGAGTCAGCATCCCCAGGGGACAGCTATTTGATTCGGCAGCATCCACGCATTGTTCCCGAAGCCATGGGCCACTATCCCAATCTGGCCATACCAGGTACCCGGACATACCCTGTACCTGGGTGCCCTGTCAGGAAAGAGGATTTGGCCACTGTGTCTGATCTATTTTTTTTGTGAACCACCAAGAGCTTTCTCAGAGTCCCCAAACCTCCTCTGTGAAGGCCTCTTGGAGGGCTGGGCCAGGATCAATGTCAAACTCACAGGCAATTACACTCAGCAGCTGCAGAGGGGCTCTCCCTGGGGACCCACACATGTCTGGGAGGTCCGTCTTCTGGGCCAGAAAAGGTGGGCAGACAGTGGGATCTGACAGGCCAGACACAGAGGAAAGGAAAGCAGGAGGGGGAGCGGGCAGGAGAAGAAAGGGCTACTTCAAAGCTCATAAAATCACAGGGAATTGGCCTGCCCAAGATGAGCACAGGATGCTTCCTAAATTATGCAGATTTGTGCAAATTTTATGCAAATTTGCCATGCAAAGGTGGCAGGGGGCACTTGCTGACAGCCTGGCTCTGGAGCCTTCTAGTCAGTCAGCCTCAGCTGCGCTCAGGGAGTAGAGGAGCTGTCACCCTCCTGGCAGCAAGTGTCTGTGGGGGTGGGATGGGGTCTGCCACCCTTCACTCTGGGGGGTCCTCCCCAAGGTCAGATCCTCCACCACACCCTCTACCTCTGACTGCCCTAGAACTAACTCAGAGACAGCCACTGACAGCTGTGACACTAGTGACCTTGGCAGCCGCTCCCACCCATTGTACAGACAGGGAGACAGAGTCCTGAGCCTGGAAAGGGACCCGCCTTCTCTCCTGAGAAGTTGTTGACGTGCTCATTCTGATTCGTGCCCCCACCACCTCTCAGAAGTGTCGGCCTTCTGCAGAGTCAAGCAGGAAACTGTCCTCTGCCTTCCAGCCCACTCCAGGGTTGCTAGCCCTGAGCGAGCCTCGAGGAGGGTTCTGACTGGTTCCTGTCCTTCCCCGGCCCTGGGGGACCTCTGAGGTTCCTCACAAACACTGTACCTGGAGTCTACACTCTGGCTCTGGCTCTTTGGGTTGGGGTCAGGGGTCAGTCATGCAGAGCTTGGGGCTAAAAGCTGGCTGCATTTCATTTCCTGCAGGTATGTGTGTGTGTGTGTGTGTGCGTGTGTGTGTGTGTGTGTGCGTGTGCTGCAGCCTCAAACACAGATAATCTAGAGGCTTGTAAATCTGCGCTGGAACCACCACCCTCTGGTCTCTGGAGAGAATGTACCTCCTTCAAGGTCATTATGGCCATGGCCACTACCCTGCCTGCACACCCCTCTTTCAACTCTTCATAATCTCCTCTAATCACACTGATGAAACTAATCACAAAAATGACTCCCCTTTGTTGAGCAGTGGTTTTCAACATTCCAGATCCTCACTACTGGGTTAGAATCTATTATCATCCTGCTTTGTGGACTAGGGGATGGCGGCACAGAGATGCCAAGTCAGTTGTTGATGGTCACACATCCAGTGATGGTGTGGTGGGAGGATTGCACAGGTGTGTCTGGCATCAGGACATTTGTTTAGGAGATGTGCTCCTCCTCCAGGAAGCCTGCCCAGATTGTGTGATGCTAAAGCCATCTGTGGGTGTCAGGGCCTCATTCATGATGGGTCCAGGCCTCAGGGTCGCCTCCTTTCCTGAACTCCTGGAGTCCCAGATTCCAAACCCTGTGGTATGACCTGGAATTTGTCCATCAGGACTGATAAGTGCCCTCTGAGGACAGGTCAGGGCTGTGTCTTGTGCCAGAATATTTCCCCAGTGTGGACCAGCAGAGAACTGGGCATCAGTATCACCCAGCATCTAAGAGAGAAAAGCAGAGGAGTGTGAGGGACTGAGACTGGACAACCTTTCTAGCACCTGATGATGCAGGCCCTAATTCTCCACCTTGGCTGCTCCCTCTCAGCCAAGCTCCACTGATAGAAAAATAGAGAAAAATGTGTGCTCACATCATCCTCTACTTGTCTCAGCACCTGCTGCTCCTCTTGTCGCTGTCATCTGGAGCCCAGGGAAGCTGAAAGACCATCCTGCATGGCCTCCAGAAAGCTTTGCTCTCCCTAGAATAGGAGAGCAAAGTCTGCCAAGGGTGGCCAGGAGGCCTTAGGGACATCCAGGTCAGCACATGAGGGTGGGGAATGAGGACACCGAGTTAGCATAGAGGAAGGTTCTGACCCGACTCCTGTCCTTCCCTGCCCTGGACGCCTCTGGGGGTTCCACAGTTGGAACCCCTTTGGGGTTTGCAGATGCTTTTGAATCTGCAGAAAGCCCTACGTCTGCCCCAACAGAGGGATGACAGGACACACAAGGAAGGTCTTGGGTTGTGGCACCCAGCCAACAGGGCCCTGGCAGATCTGTTCATCCTTTGACCACAAAGCCAACCTCAGACTGGGCATGCCTGAGTCACAGGCCAACTCTCCCAGACGGTCCACCTCCCAGGGCCTGCTCCTCGCTGAGTCACGTGACCCCAAAATGGAGTGAATTTGAGCAGCCTGTGGTGACCAGCTCCTCCCAGAAGATGGCCCTTGTCCAGTGGGCACCACTGACCACATACCTGACAGTCCCAGGTGGCAAGAGCCAGTGGGACTCCAGCCCTGGTGTCATCAGGCTGGCAGCAGAAGGCCTAAGGGAGGCCGCCAGGGCAGATGGCACCGGGCAGAGTTCTGCGTGCCCGGGGCGAGTCACTCGGCTGTGCTGCAGCGTCTGTCTCTGCAAACACAGTCATCCCTACAACGCAGGGCTCAAGAACTGTGACTCCCCCACAGCGCCCGGCACATCATAAGCGCTCGGAGACAGGGACTCCTCCTCCTGGCTGTGACCTTGAGTGGGGCAACTCTCAAGTCCCAGTCAAGTCCCAGGCTTCCCTCGCAACATTTCTGGTTTGCAGCCTCCGGTGCCATCTCCGCTGCAGTCACCTCCCATCGGTCCTTCAAGTTCCTGCTGCCAGACTGCCACAGGCAAGAGCCATGCAAAGCAGTTCCCAGAGGCAGCCCATGAATGAGGGTGGGGTGGGGAAGCTCTCCTCCGCCATCTCAGGGCCTGAAATGCCACCACGATCGATCGCTCTGCTCAGGCTCAGCACTAAGCATTCTGCTTCTCCCAGGAAAGCGAGCCTACTTCAGCCCTTCCTACTCAAGGGGCCAGACTCCAGGGGGCCCTGAGAACCTGGTGACCGAGAGAAGTGAGCTAGGCCAAGAGATCAGGACCGTTGGAATGTTCTCAGCATCGTTCTTTGTCAGGGCAAAAATCCAAGACAACCTGGGTGTCCCAGGCGAGGGGGAGTTAAGAGAACTCAGGCTCATCCTTTATAAGCCGCACCTGGGAGCAGTTCCAGGAAGAAGGCAGCTCTACGTATCACAACAAGCTCGTGGAGAAAAAGGTACATTCTAGTACAAGATATATGCGGCGAGATCCCATTTCTATCATTGTCTGTGCCCGTGCAGACATTCTGTCTGTTAATATAATACGTGGGGGGGAGTCTGCAAACCACCCGTCAAACTGTAATGGTGGTGAACAGTGGGGGATGCTGGGTGGGGAAAGGCTGCCTTCCCTGTGCTATGCTTGTGCATTATTCAAGTTGTCACATGCTCATAAATATGTGCTCATATATGCATATTACTTGCATATATGTTCAAGATCATAAAATTACATGCACACTCATGTGTGCATACACATACATTTCAAACGGCTCTGGGGGTAGGAAGGCCCCACCCCAGCTCCCTCCCTCAGAGCTAAATGGGCCCCTTGCCTGGCTGTGCTCTAGCTGCCCCACTCCCTCCAGCAGCCCCTGGCCCCCCCCTCCAACCCCTTCACTGCCAAGCTCATCAGCTCTCTCTGCTGCCCTGCGGTTCTGACCTCGGGGCTCTGGAAATGTCAGTTCTGTTTTCACGACTTCCCATCAGCCCTGCTCGGTGACCATCCCTCGCCCCTGATCAGGCTCGGCTCCCCCTGATCAGGTTAGGGCTACCCCTTTGGCCCCAGCTTGAAGAAGCCACAAGCCAGGGACATGTTGCGAGGAGGCCTGGGGTCCTGGCCCCTTAGATCCCATGGAAATAGCCTTTCCTACAATAATGGAGACTGGATTCTGTCATTCTGTGCAGGAGAAAGAGCCCAAACACTAATGTTGCCCTGTGTCTGGACATGTTGGGGAGAAATAAAGGAGAGAGAGAAGATCTAGCCCTGCGCTTCGGGGGTCCCCAGTCTGGGAAGCCTCAGAGGACCCCCTGAGGAGGAAGCAGCCATGGAACTCAAAGGTTGGCCCAACTTCCCACTTTGCAGATGGGGTCACTGAGGTTCAGGGGGGGACTCGGACTTGTCCAGAGCCCAGAGTGAACCTTCAAAGAATGTTCTGCCCAGTCCCCAGCTCCCAGCTCGCACCCCAGCCCTGAGCTTTGCCCTCTGTGTGTCCTTCCCTACAGACTCCTGGTGGAGAGAGTCAGAGCCGCAGGCAAGAAGCTGAACTGGCAGGAACAGCGGGGCCTGCAGGCCCCAGGCACGACAGGAACACAGGCATCTCGGCTGTGGCCCAGGGAAAATATTGACTTTCTGGCTAATAAAGCCAAATTCCATGAAAGCTACAACTCCTAACTGAGAAAATCCATCGGTGTTTCATAAATATTTGAATGTGTCTGATTGATTATCACCCTGTGAGGGTGGCTGGGAGCTGGAGGGCGGGCTGGGGCAGAAGTGAGCCTCATCACAGCGCAAGAGCACCCAAATCCTGCAGTCGTCCATCCACAAGCTGTTAGTGCTTCTGCTGGCTTGGGAAAGCAAACGCAGCTCTGCTCCGACACACAGGAAGCCGAGAGCCAGGCTTCCAGAGCAGGGACTGGGGGAGACTGTGTCCTCTGCGCTGTGGTGTACGTGGCTGATTTTTTAAATGTGAGTGTATTCCCTTCTCAAAATAATAAGTAAAAAGTGTAAGCTGCTCCAGGGCCACCGTCTCCCTAGTCCTGTTTAGATGCAATAGGGGTGACGGGGAGGTATAAACAGAGACCCAGCCCAGGGGCCAGCCTCTGAGGGCGGGGGGAGCAGCTGTCCACACCAGCTTTGCTAACAGCTCTTGACTTGAGTCTGTGGAGCGTCTGACTCCCCACGAGCCAGCGTGATCCAGAAGACAGTTCGGATAGGTGGGGAGTGGTTCCATCAGCCTGATTGCTTTAGGGGGGCTCTCCTCCCAGCAGGAAGGGAGCACTGCAGCATCATTCGAGAACATTCATGGTGGGTGGGGGCCTAAGAGTGCTCTCTGCCACTGTGCTCTCCAGATTTCCTGCCCCGGGCCCTCACCCATGCCTCTGGCAAAGTGTGAAGCGTCTCCATCTCAGTCATGCAGCAAAGCCTTAGAGCTGGACAGCCCCTCAGGGCTCATCCAGCTGAACCCGACCTCCCCTCCCCCTCTTTACGGGTGAGCAAACTGAGGTCCTCAGAGGAGGAAGTTATCCAGCATCAAAGGCCTTGGTGTGGCTGAACCTGGAACCGAGACCATTTATGGTCCTCTCTTAAGTTGTGGGGAGACCTCCCTTATCCGTCTTGGTTTTGAGACCCTCTCTTACAGCCAGACACTGCTCAGGGTCCCCAGGGCCGACTGACCCTGATGAGGACTTGACTTTCATTTTATTAGCAATGTGGGGTGGGGCACTTTGTCACAGTGAGTCCAAGCCGAGAGTCACACCTGTGCAAACACCTGTCCCGTCCCTCTTGAAAACCCAAGTCCTGTCTGTCTGTGGGACCTCACTCACCCCTTCCTGTCTCCCAGTTCACCTTGCTTCTGTCCTTCCCAAGCCGTTACCGGGATGGAGGTCACAGCCCACTTCTTACTCCAGAGCAAGTCTCGCCCAGCCAAGCAGGGAGAGCTTTCGAGATCCCATTTCTTAGAATTTCGTAGCCCTCCCCAGCTCTCCACGTGACCTTTCTAGGCGGATTCACATCACATGTCCCCCTCTCCCTCCTCCTGCCTGCTGCCTCAGGGCCTTTGCCCAAGCTGTTGCCTCCACCAGGAAGACTGTACTCTCTGCTCCAGCCCCAGAAAACTCCCACTTGACTTCCAGGCCTTGACTCAAATAGGACTTTCCCTTCCCCTGAAAGTAGTCTTTCCCGGACCCCCAATAGGAAGCAGGTCCTCCCTTTCGCTTTCCCATTTCCAACTGCCCCTTTCCTTCAGGAACTTGGTTGTCTAGTGTCTGTCTCTTGCACCAGACAAGAAAGAACCCATGTCTGTATTTGCTCACCACTAAGGACAATGCCTGGCAGCAAGTAAGTGCTCAAGAAATACACTGGGGGCCTCCCCGGTGGCGCAGCGGTTGAGCACTGGGCTGTGAAGCTGCCCGCAGCCTCTGCAGCGCCAGTTCGATCCCCAGCCGCTGGCGAGGGTCCCACATGGCGCGCAGACCTCTCCTGCCACCCGCTGCTCCCCTCAGCAGTGTCTTTCGTCAGTCTGCCTGTTCTGTTCCCCGCTCTGGCTCTGGTGGATTCTCTCACCCTCCCACGCTTCTGACTGTACCCAGTGCTTGTATAGATAAATAAATAAATCTTAAAAAAAAAAAAAAAGAAATACACTGAATGAAAGGGTGAATGGTGAGTGGTGGTTAGAACCTCCTAGGTAGGGAGAAAGGAACGCGGGCGCCCAGCTTTGGATTAGGGGTGAGCAGTGGCAAAAGCCCCCTCAAGTGGCCCTGGAGGCAAGGGAAGGCTGGGGTGCAGGTCCCGGGCCTGAGTGTGTGTGCTCGAGTGAGCTCTGATGGCTGCGTGGGGAGGGGGTCGCTTCCCGGCTGCAGATTTGTATTCCTGCCGACTTTTATTTCAGGCCTTGTTTATTTCTCCTTAAAACGCGGCTGCTGTGCCAAGAGTCGTACCCAAATTAGCTGCGAGTGTGTAATTTTGCAGCGATTACCCGGGTGTTTCTGTGACTTGGGTAATAAAGAGGGAAATATAAACAAACAGCAGCAGAGGCAGTTTCGTGAAGGAGGTCCCTGAGCTCCCTTCTCAGCTTCAAGGTGGAACAAGTCCATCCCTTCCCTGTCCCTCTTCCCATCACCCCCTCGAGTCACGGTGTCCAGGGAAGGGGGTGTGGGAGTCCCAAGGGTCCCAGCCCTGAAGCGCTCACATTGTTGCCCGCTCCCCCTGCCCAGTCAACAGGCCTATCCCAGGGGCACGGCGCCCGCCCCCTCCCCAGCCCCACAGGTACTCCCCCTACACAAAAGCAAACAAAGGCCCCCGCCTAATTATGTGATATTTCCCTTCTCCGGTGGCTAATCGCACCAGAGCGTGTGTGACATTTTGCTTTCTTTCCTCTATTATTCTTGCTTATTATCTGCCTGCTGCCCAAGGCTCTAGGCTGAAGCTGGCACTGATGCCCACCCCCGCCTATTCCCCCTCCTCTTTGCTCTGTCCCTTTTCCTCACTCATGGCCCTTCTTTCATCTCTCGAGAAGGACAGGCGTGTGTGCCTGATCCACGAGGCCCCCACTGAAACGCTAAGGGGACGGAGCAGAGGTCAGGGCAGGGCCTGGGGCTGCTCTGGGCTCCTTGAGGTGGACAGATCTGCAGGACACCTGCATCTTGCCTCAGCTGAGCTGCAGCTTCGCCAAGAGGCCTCCACCATGTTCCTGTGGGGTGCCTCAGTTTCCCCAGATCTGTTCCAAGAAGGGGTAGTCCCTAGTTCCCAAAGGTTCTTCCTGCTTTAATAACCCTCAAGCAGTAAGGGATATGTATAAATGTCAAAGTGATGGAGGGACACGTAGGGGTGTGGGAGAGTTCAGGTTGTGGGGTTTGGCTGCAAGAGGATGTGGGTTTGAGCTAGGATAGGGGCAGAGCAGGAGGACCAGGGCAGAAGAGATGAAACTGAAGAAGTCACATCAGGGCAGCTGGGCCTCAATTTCCACACACTCAGTCATCAAAAACACTGACTTCATTTTTTTTTCTTCCAAATAGTCTTCATTTAAAAAAAAATACAAGAAAGAAAGCAAAAAAATATAAATAAAACTCCTCCCATCTCCTCTAGAGGCAACCTGATGAATGGTTGGCTGTGTATCATTGCCAACTTTCTCCCACGTGTGCCTACTCTATATATTCTTATACAGACATTTTTTAAAAACAGAAATGGGGCCATAGCATACATATTGATCAGTCACTTGCTTTTTTCCCACACCAATATAACATGGGTCTCTTCCAGGTCAGTAAGTATGGATCGACCTCAAATTTTAACAGCAGAAGGATGTTCCACTGTGCAACCATATGTAGGGTGCTTATGTCTCCAACCGCGTGTCCTTTGATGGGCATCTGCGGGGCCTCCAGTTTGGAGTTGTATCAGGTGTTTTAGCACAATAAATAGTGGCCTCCTGACAACCCTGTAGCTTAATGTCTTAAGACTCATGAGTCTGGAAGTTGACTGGGCAGCCGTAGTCAGGGTCCATGTGGGCTGATTCCCAGGGCGGGTTCACTCAGGCCTCTGCTGCATGTTGGGGAGTTGACTGGGAGTGAACTGGTCTAGAATGGTTTCATCTAATATTATTTCACTCTCTTCTATGTAGTCTTATCCTGCAGCAAACTAACTTGTCCTCATGTTTGAAGGGGTTTCCAAGACAGTTTGCTGGGAACATACCAGGACTTCGGAGGTCAATACTTGGATGGCATGTGATCACTTCTAGCACATTCCATTGGCCAAAGCTAATCAGAAGGCAATCTAGAGCCAAGAGGTAGAGAAACCACCTCCGCCTCTAGAACCACAGAGTGACTTTGGAACCGGATATAGGAAAGTACAGCAAATTGGGACCATTTTGTAACCAATCTACTAAGGAGGCTGTTGCCAACAATTCTGTGATGAATACATTTGGACCTACTTCTCTCTGCGCCATCAGATTGCAATTTCTCCAGATTTCAGGGCACTAAGGCTCTTGCACTCATGGGGGATAGTGTTATTAACTACAAAGTTGTTCCAAAGTTGTACCAATGTCAGTCTGACCAACTTTCAAAGCAGATAAGTCACAAGAGAGATGGGAAACCTTACAGCCTTCCTGTCTCTGCTGATTCACCCTCAGGATCTGTTGCCAATACTTGCCAACCTCAAAATTCCAGGGCAAAAAAAAAAAAATAATAGTGATGATTGTAGAAGACTCAGAGGGCCTGACTAGTTGGTAATTCAATTCTCCTGCTTGTGACCCCAACACCCTCACCTCTCCCAGTCTCAGGACTTAGATTTAGGGTGTTGTTCTACATTGAGTTAGTTTTTAATGTATGGTGTGAGGAAGGGGTGCAACTTTATTCTTTTGCATGTGAATATTCTGTGGTCCTGGCATCATTTGTTGAAAAAACTATTCTATCCCCCACTGAATTATCTCTGCTCACTTGTTGAAAATCAAATCACCATACATGTGAAACTTAGTCTTAAACTCTTAGATTTATTCCATTGATCTGTATGTCTGTGCTTAGGCTGGTAAAACATTGT